GTCTTGACTTTATTTGCCAGACACACGGCACTGAACACACATGCAGAGGTGAACACAGAACACACATGCAGAGGTGAACACAACACAAGACAACATTAGCACGACCAGTCACAAGCTGTCATCACTACCCTCCTGACTGTTCTCCTCACTGTCTTCCTCTCTGTCAGACATGGTAGCTGATGATGTAGGCCTACTACTTTCTCTCTGGTTGAGTCTGCGATTAGCTGCTTGCATCCACAAGTCAACAGCAGGGTTTGGGTCGAAAGTCTCTGTTGTCATCTTAGACAAGTGGATGTAATCAAATAAGTATGTGAACATAACCAATAGCCTACCATAGCCAATAACAAATTAATGTAACTTATTTTATTTGTGTTGTTCATTCATATCTTATTTTACCTTAACATTTATTTATTTATGCATTTTTTTTAAATCTCGTTTTAAAGGATATTTTTGGTTACTGTCCTATAGTATACATTGGAATGATTTAAAACATGTTTATCCCAATAATTACAAAAGAGTGCCTTGGAAATATGTGTTTACATAAATTGTGACCAAACCGTTTGAATTTAGACTAAGAGTCCTTTACCTCACTGAGCTGTAGTTAACTTATCAGCCTCTCAGTCTGACTGGAGAGGACTCTCCCTCCCCATTATTGTAGAAACATCTTCTTCTTATCTCCGTTAGAGCAGCTAGCACGGCACCAGATTATAATAACAACAGCGCTGGTACCACCCTCCCTCTCTCCCTCGCTCACTCGCATTTTGTCTGTGAGCTGCGGGCGCCAGATAAGCCAACATCCCCCATTTTCATCACTTATAGCGCCCATCGTACAGGGCAAATGAAAGGTGGAACCGGGGTGAAAAGGGTGTTACATTTACTTAATTGTGAATATTGTTACATCAAGGCCGAAAATTAGGATGAGCCCCAACGGTCAAAATGTTTTTTTCCCTCCCAGAACTGCCAGCGCAGCACCTCCCCAGATCTGGCGCCTTAGGCGAACATCTAGCCAGCGCTACGGGCCGGCCCTGAGTTCATATCATGGTTCATATGCAACTCGCAAATATATTTTTCTCTCTCTCTCTCTTCTCTCTCTCTCTCATCTCTCCTCTATTTTCTCTTTTCTCTTCTCTCTCTCCTTCTCAATGTTGGTACGCAAATGCGCTTTGTTTCAAATGACCCGGTGCTCTTTTTTTGGCGGAGGTGCGCATGCGCACCTGCGCACCAGTTATGTGCAGCCCTGGTTATAATATTTTTAATGCACGTTGTCCGATTTATAATCCTATGCGCCGGCCGCAGAGTCTGTTGATGTACTCTCCAGATTAACAGCAGTATGAAAATAACCTGCCAATGCTCCATGATGTAGGCTACTGTAGAAATTGCTGGGATCTGCATTTTATCCGCTTAATGTCCCGCCAATTGTTGAAAAAGCATCTCCGTACAATGACTTTAGTATACAGTTCATAGTCTGTTTCAGGTTGCCTGGGTGAACGCAAACCCAACCTTCTGCAAATGAAACGATGTAATACACTTGCGTCTGGTGTAAAGACACAGACTATTCGGCATGAATGCAATCTTAGAGATGGCTATTGCTCAGATCTTTGGTCCTTAGCCCCTCTGCGACGAGTGGAAGGTTATGTTCATTCTTTTATAATGACCTTGCGGTGTCCTCAGATCCTCTCTAGTTACTTACAGATGCTGCGCCTTCTGCTGGTTCGGGGGATTTCACAATGAGTGGTTTGCCCCACCAGCTTGCCATGCCCTTCGTTCAACCAAATGACTCTGGATCTTCACGTCAAGCCCTCAAGGATTTCCCATATTCTTGCTTGATTGATCAAGCCTCCAACCAAGAGCATGATTCAAAGCATACAATTCAGCTTGGTACTTTATCTTCTTCTGTCCCAACCTCCTCTGTGTACTTATGCAATAGATATAATAGTTGTTCATGCATTAATTGTATTTTCATTCGAATCCTGCAATCTTCAAGTGCTAAGTATTAAGCCATGCTAGAGTTCATTAATTTACTCCTCAAGGGCCTTAAGAAGGCACGTCCTCCACGCAATGATAAAGACTGCCTCTTAACTTTGCACCCGTGCAAAGGTTAATGTATAAGTTCAGGCAAAGGGGTTTCACTATACATTGATAAACGCCAGAGGCAGTTGTTACAGCTTTCTATTGGTTTCTCAGGTGGTGAATATACACAGACCTCTCACCTTTTAATCCTCAGCATAATCTCTCCCTTACTGAATTAACTTTGGAGATCAAATATACACACTTTTTTGAAACATTCAATGTCTGACATTTCTGTTTGGAGAGTCAAGGAACCCTGAATAATCATTGCTAAAACTAACACTGTTTTCTTTGTCCTTTATCTTCCATGCTGAACTTCTCGCATCATTGCCCTCTGACACATGGGTCGGCGCCCATGTTTATTCGATGGCTGCAAACCCAACGACGAGGGTTCTCCTCCAAGCTGCGTGATCTCTGCCTAAGCTGCGACCTGCCCCAGATCGCTATTCCCACTGTTTAAGAATCTGCACAGCCACAACCGCAGCTCTATATCCGCCTACCTCAACCCTGAGTATCCTGGGCCGTTGGTCATCTTCTGCCCACCAGCGCTATATCATGCCTCACATGAATGAGATCCTTGCAGCACAAACAACCATGAGCTCTTGCACTACTCGATGATGAGTAACGTTCAAAGATGTATATCTATAGAATTCTGTTATTGCATACCAGGTGGTTGCTGGGTTAGATTATATTTATTTCATTATAGTATATTCCCCTCATAGCTGCATGCTTGGGGGGGAAAGCTCATTATCGCTGCCTTAAAGACCTAGACACAGCAGTCTTGATAGGTAGTATATTCCCCTCAAAGCCGCGGTGCTGGGGGGGGGGGGGGGGGGGGGGTCGGCACTGGTCACTTCCAGGCCTACACATAGCAGTCTCTCTAGGTAGTATATTCCCCTCAAAGCCGTAGTGCTTAAGGGGAATGGCTTTTCGGGCTGTTCCCGGGCCTTCACATAGCAGTCACTAGGTAGTATATTCCCCTCAAAGCCGCGGTGCTTAAGGGGGATGGCTTTTCGGGCTGTTCCCGGGCCTTCACATAGCAGTCACTAGGTAGTATATTCCCCTTAAAGCCGCGGTGCTTAAGGGGGATGGCTTTTCGGGCTGTTCCCGGGCCTTCACATAGCAGTCACTAGGTAGTATATTCCCCTTAAAGCCGCGGTGCTTAAGGGGGATGGCTTTTCGGGCTGTTCCCGGGCCTTCACATAGCAGTCTCACTTAGTAGTATATTCCCCTTAAAGCCGCTGTGCTTAGGGGGAATGGCCACATGGCAGCTCGCCAGGCCCTCTACTTATCAGTCTTACATCACCAGCGTCAGGCTCGGGCTACGCAGTTTGGGGGGATAGTATCTAATCTCCACGCAGTTTTGGGGGTTAGTTATTTAATCATCACTCATCGTGCTATGTATATCTATGGAGTGATGATGCCCGAGCCTAGTCGCCAAACTCAACTATATGCTGCTTCTAATAAACATGTTAAAGGAACAGGTGAGTTGTCTGACTGAAATGGGGCGAAGCCTGCGAGCTAGTTCAGGCAGTCAACTCGAGCACTTATGCGGCATTCATACATAACGCCCCCTTGCCACTCTACAACCAACCAAACAGAGTCTCCTTAATATGCCGCTCTATTTAACCTGCCAGATCTCTCTCCATGCATTGCTTGCTGCTGCTATTGCTGCAGCTACCTCTACGTCGCTGCTGCTTGCCTGCCCCACCACCACCCCAGCTTCCACCTGTAGGCTCGGGGGTTAGTTATTTAATCATCACTCATCGTGCTATGTATATCTATATCTTCCTGGTCGAATGTACTTATTGTAAGTCGCTTTGGATAAAAGCGTCAGCTAAATGCAATGTAATGTAATGCAATCTATGGAGCGATGATGCCCGAGCCTAGTCGCCAAACTCAACTATATGCTGCTTCTAATAAACATGTTAAAGGAACACGTGAGTTGTCTGACTGAACTGCAGTTTGCCTCCCTGTCATCGAGAATGACAAAGATCCTCAGTGAAGCACAAGCCCATGTTTCTCACTACATTCTAAGTACAACTTATTAAAAAGATCAGTTCAATGCAACTAATGTCGTCTTAGTGTTATTGCATGATGTTAAAATTGGTTTGCCATGAATTTAGTGATGGATTGTAAACATTTGAAGCCTAGCATTTACGTTTTTCTCAGTTACAATGTTGTTGTTTTAATAAATCAGACACTGATGGTGCAGCGCTGTACTGTACCTCTTTATATAGGCATTTTGTCCCTAACAAATTGTTTTTGCGCTGATCAGGGGGTACTTGGCGGAATATTTTTTTCAAAGGGGGTACATTATTGAAAAAAGTTTGAGAACCACTGACCTAATCAACTCTCAATGGAAGAACCTAGTAAATGAATGTATGGAATGGAGAAAATTACTTTTAGATTAAATAACCAGGTTCATATTTTTGATGAAAGATGGAAAATTGGTTATTGTATAGAACACAAAACATTTATAACGAACATGAGGTAAGAACTTAAAACTAATGTAAACCTGAGTATTAATAATGTATCCATTGTGTTTTTTCAGTTATGAATGTATTATTATTTTTTAGTTGTTCCTGATTTGTCGATAGCTATGTAGATAATTGATGTATCTAGCTGTGTTTATTGGGTTAGTATGTTTTTAAATAATTTCTTAAAATGCACCAAAAAAAAGACAGACAGAAAATATGAACCCTCAGTCCTCGGGGAAATGTCTCCCAAGACTGGCTTTCCACTAAAAAACACATTTTTCATTTACAAGTTCTTTTGAATTAAAAAAAAATCTGACTCAATGAACTCGCTATGAAACCAAAGCCTGTGTAAAGCCTTGCAAAGTATCCTTTTTATACATGTTTAGAGCTAAAACGCCGTTTTACTTTGAAAATCCTCACCGGAAGCGTCTTGTTCTATTGATTTATTGACGCTGGTTTGAGTCCAGTCCAGCTCGCCTGCATTCCTCCTCTTTCTAAAGCCTGACCGATAGAGACAGAGAAAGAAAGGGGGGAGAAAACACCGATTATTATTCTCAACCGTGTTAGATTTTCTAGAACCACGGAGTCGACACACACCGGACACACCGACCAGACCGGGCCACGCAAAATACCCACAGCAAGCTTGCTCCGTTTGGACCTAGCTTAACGACGAAAAGGCGTGTTTTTATTGAATAATGACCCGCTAATGTGCCTGTGTAGGTCAGCTAGCGAAAAGCAGCTTTGGTGAAACAGCCTCTCCACGGCGGATATCTCCTCTTTTTTTTTTTTTTAAATGAGGATTTGCAAGATGGCTGATGACAGCTACCCCTAACAAGGACAGAAACGCGACGGCCCCTTTAAAATTAGGAGGGTATATTTTTGTATTTTCTATTAGTTAAATATATCAAATAGGGCTGCTTTAAAAAAAAATAATGACCATAGCTTATATCGACCTTGTATCTTTGTTGCTAGTGTTTATCTGTACCTGTGCTATGGTGAGGTGACGTCTGAGGCAATTTGCACGATTTAATCCAGATAAGGAAGTAGGAAAATTATGTTGTTGGCTAAAGGCTGAGATTGGTGAATCAGGTGAGAGCAACGTGAACAGATACAATAATAATATAGATATCGGTGTGAGGAGATTTGTGATAGATGTGTCGGAGGGGGGAACCAAAAGGCTTCTGCAACAGCACCCAACATTCCTGCGGATCCTTAAAACCCTTTGTTTTGTGCGCAGGAGCTGGACTCGACTATTAAAACGATTAACTATGCAGTAAACAGGCTTGAAATGATGGCCCGGGTATGATTTTCAGTTTAATGAGATTATAAGGCCTTTGTTGTCGACAGAAACCTGGTAAAAAAAAGCCGAGGCCTTGTGTACAGATATGCGAGCGGTGCCACATAGCAGGCGGTGTTCATCAAATAGAAATGTCGCTTTTATGTTAAATTGAAGGGCTGGAGGTAGCTGTGTTGTCCATCTGACTTTGGGAAACACTATTTCTTTCTACTGCCAAACCGTTGCTGGGTGTATGTATAATTAAGTTGCAGGTGGAGGCTCCTTTGGATACTTATTTATGATTCAGCGGACAAAAGCATTGCGCTGCGTTGTGATTATTGACGGATTCAAGCGTCCTTGAGGTTTAGATCAAAACAGATTCAGGTTTTTTTTAAGGCCCTTTTTTGTGTGGTTAGTAATCAGGGTGTGGACTGGACTGTAGCAGTCCCTTTCCGTGGTTTTCATGATTCGATTGTTGGTCTGAATTGGTCCACAGTCAATCATAATCCGACGTTAACGTAAAGGGAGCTCAAGGTAAGGGCCTGAGCAGGCAGCAGAAAAAAAGGATCAAGTGTCTTTTCATGTGCTACATAGAGATTGATTCACCTCATGATCATATGAGTAGTTGTGATGTTTAATAATTAGATATTTAGTGCTCTGTGCCTTGTTTGCTTTTTTACCTGTAGCTGACAGGCTTTGTAGCTTCCTGTAGGCCTATAAACAGACTCAGAAGCTGTAAAGGCAGGCCTCTATGTTTGTGTGTGATTTAGAGGAAAGGAAAGCACCGTTTACTGTAATCTGTGTAGTCAGCCCCTGCTGTGTGTGTTGAAATCACCAAGGTGTCATCCTTTGCCTGAAGCCTTCTCTGGTCAATTATTCTGGAATTTGCCTTCATGCTGCAGCAATAAGCAATACTCGTCACCTGTCAGGGAGTTTAATTTGGTCACAAGGGTTGAAATATACAGACTGATTTCAGGACGGCATATTTTTGTATCCTAATTTTTTCTCAAGTCTTTTTTTAGAGGTTTTTCTGCGAGGACAGAAAGGCCTAGAGGTCTTGTACGAGTGGGAACATATAGTGTATGCCTGTCCGCACCATGATGTCCTCTGACATGGCTGAGACGTGGAGGAACTGTTTTGAGGAGGAGCTCATCTGCCCCATCTGCCTGCACGTGTTCTCAGATCCCATCCAGCTGCCCTGCAAGCACAACTTCTGCCGGGGCTGCATCAGCGAGGCCTGGGCCAAAGACTCCACGCTGGCCCGCTGCCCCGAGTGCAATCATGCTTACACTCAGAAGCCCAGCCTGGAGAAGAACCACAAACTGTCCAACATAGTGGAGAAGTACAACGCCCTGAGCGTGGAGAAGGCCGCCACGCCTGCGCTGCAGTGCATCCTGTGTCGTCGAGGCCCGCCACTCCCCGCAGTGAAGGTGTGCCTGCGCTGCAACGCCCCCTGCTGCCAGTCCCACGTCCAGACTCACCTGCAGCAGCCGTGCTCAGCACTCGGGCACCTGCTGGTGGAGGCGGAGGCGGTGAAGGCCTGGACCTGCCTGCAGCACGACGAGTACAGATTGTACCACTGCGAGGCCGAGCAGACGGCCGTGTGCCAGTACTGCTGCTTTGCCCGCTGCCACCCCAGCCACGGCCACGCCGTCACTGACGTGGAGCTGCGACGCAACGACATCAGAGTAAGACACATATTTATATCATACACATACCTTAAACAAAAACAAACCTTAGGGCTGCTAAGTATTGGAGAAAGAAACCGACATATATCGCAATATACGAAACAATAAAGGATTTGTCACCAAATGGTGACATTGAACCAATTTCTGGTCAACACCATCCTTCTGTAGACATAACAACTGAATTTGCAACCAACTTTTCTGTGTTTTTCTCTTGTTCCTCGTTCATTTTCAGGTTGTTAACGATGGCTAGCAGGTTCCATAGGTTGATCAACAATGATGGTGATCATTGGAACTCTGTTGTCCAATTTCTACCAACAAAGTCTGTGTATCCAACGACCACTAGAATCGGAATAAATGATGTCATATCAGACAGTATTCATGGGGGAAAAAACAGGCCAGTTTTAAAACATTGTATGTGTTTATTTGCCTTACTAGACACTGCACACTCATGCATTGGGTCTAATGCGTATGCACTCGTCACAATGTCGATGCTGAACCGATGTATCGTGCAGCCCTAACATACTTGTTTGTTCACCCCAGGATGATGTCACACTCTGACATTTTGACCGAAACAAAACTTCACTTGCTCGTGTCGTAAGCGGATGTCAGACAAAGAAAAAGAAAAAGTGAAAATATTGATCCTTAGTTAATTAGTCAAAATCAAATGAAGACTAACAGTTTTGATTGAAGTGTATGCTAAAATGGAAACTAAACCATTAGTTCCATCTTCTATCTATCAATTCTGATAGTATACCGGATGTCTTCTGTTGGTCAAACAAAATACATTTTATGAATTTACAATATCAAGTAATCTGCTGATTGTTTTTTGAAAATAGTGAAATGTTCATCCCAGTTTCCCAAAGTCCAAGGTGAATTCCTAAACGGGTCTTGTTGTGTAAGCCCTAAACCCAAAGGTATTTAATTTGATATGATACAAAACAGAGAAACAATTTAAAATATCCATATTTGAGACACTGAAAACAGTATTTCCAGCAATGTTTTAAAGAAATATGACTAACAATTTATCAATCATCAAAAATAATAAGCCTTTCCTTTTTCTGTTTATCAGCAGATTGATAGGTGAGCGTATCGTTGCAGCTCTAGTTTTACGCTCTGTTCGCAAGAAGATAACCGTTCGTAGCAAGAGCTATCATTTCTTCGGTGATCAATAAGGGCCTACTAACATCCTTACATTTTGCTTTAAACAAACCAGTGAGGTCATTCTTCATTCACCAGATCAAAGAGCATATTTTTATGTAATTTTTAGCCAAATAAAAAACACAACGTGCTGTTTTCTGGGTACAGAGTTCTCAATTGTTCATGTTTTTACCAAATCACTTGACTCAATCAAAAACAGAACTTCCTATTTTACGACACAATTGCATTTTGAGTGTTTTTTAGCGCCCGCGTGAGTGCATTTTTCTGTCGTGATCCACTCCAGCCTCCATTCTCATCTGTTGGAATGACAAACAATGCAGTGGAGGGTGGAACAATAAGGGGCCCTCAGAGAGCCTTATCTCCCCAGCACAGGTGCATCCTAGCTCAGGGATCGCCAGTTGTGAGGGAGGGGTGGGGGGCGCTTGAGACAAGGGGAAGGGGATTAAGTGATTCGTCACTTGATTTGCGGTCTACTTGGGTTTTTTTGTATTAACCTCTTCCCTTCCTGGGGGTTTGGTGCTCTCTGTCTTCGGTCCCGGCAGAGGTCGGGTTGGTTTTCCTCCCCCTTTCTGTTTTTTTGATGGGGCAGCTTAGTCAGATGGAGAACCATGAAGGCCTCAATGCTGACTGACTCATGTTGTGCATCCAACACCCTGTTTAGGTGTCAACCGTGTCATGCTCGGGTGTATTTCCTGTTGGTAATGCTATGACTCAGCTTCTTGTATAGTTAATCTGTCGCTTGGGGCACAGGAAGGGCCATCGGGTGGGACCTGGTTTGAATTTAAAAGCTGTATTTCCAAATTCCTTCACAATTACATGTTTTTCCTACATATAGTCAGGATGGGGAAATCGATGTAAACAGGGCTCTGCTAACATGCTCCCAATAGACCTTTTATTAACTGCAGACATTTAGACGAGTCATGGTAAGAAAATCACAAGAGGAATTGATAACGATGGCTCAGTTGCATTACGTTTCCAAGTGAGGTAGCACTCACCATACCAAGACCTCCACTAAATGGAATGCGGCCATAATGAATGGTATTAATTAAATACACAAGTCAAAATGTCTGCTATGAAAAAGGTGTTTGCTTCATTCACAGGCTCCACGGATGGTCCCATTCCCTGGGTTTGGAATTTATTTTCAGCCTTGGTGTGTTCATTAGCTTAAGGTCGTAGCTTGGAAACAACATGGATGCTAATAGATAAGTTGTATTTAATTACTCTGAGCATTTAAACCTTACTTAAATAGCTCTTAAGATTATGTTATTCTTGGTTATAGCAGCGATTTCAGTTAATACTAATGAATATCTCTTCTAAATAATTGAACTAGACAGGAACTAATGGTTAAAACTGTAACTAATCCCATATTACAAATTATTATGCGAATCAGTATATGCAATAGGTGAATAAAACACATTATACTATGGAGCAGAAACATGGCAAGTTGTGTACCAACCAAGTGTTAGGGAAAGTCTCCAAGTTGTTGTTCCAGTCGTACTGGTTAATAGACAAAGTAAACATGTGATTTTTCAGAGGTACAGAACTTGGGATACAGAATAATCTAAAAGCATCAAAGAGCAGTATCTGATGAAAAGCAAAACGCACATCATCTACAAAGGGTTCCTCTTGGAATTTAGGTATTGTATTTTATATAAAATTGAATGCTCCAATAATATAATAACGTTTTATAATCTGAATTAGACGATATGACAATTATCTGTTTTTTATGTCCCTTAATTTCAAATTGTATTTTCTTGTTGGACATACTAGTACAAACATGGTGAATTCCAGAAATCCATAGAAAAAAGAGCAAATATAAGAAGAGATTGTTTCTTATATCTGTTCCGGAATAAGGCCCAATCATTTCCTTGGGGAACTCCGGGAAAACTGGAAAAAAATCTTGATCACATTGATTTTTGCCTTTATTTATGGTATTGAAACATCCTCCATGTTGAATGCAATCATGGAATGCTGAGTGGAGTGGACCCTTCTCCTCACACAGTGAGCCCCACACCCCCTCTGCTCTTTACATCCGTCGCCCACCCTCTCACACCAGCCACTCCAGGCGAGGGCCGACCTTCCCTCTGGCTCTGATCTCCTGCTCTGGTGGCTCTGATTGAAAAGACACTGTGATGAAATGACAGCTAAAGAGCACCCCCCCCCCCCCCCCCCCGTCTCTGTCCCCCTCCCTCCAGCCCCCAAAGGTATCCCATACATTTAGTTGCTACCCCCCCTCTGGGAAGCTTCGGCTCCTTCGACCCTGTTTTTCCCCTGGCTTCTGCTCAGAGCCTAACTCAATCAATCAGCACAACCAGGTCACAGTCCTCTCTCTCTCTGTGTGTGGTGTGTGTGTGTGTGTGGTGTTGTGTGTGTGTGTGTGTGTGTGTGTGTGGTGTGTGTGTGTGTGTGTGTGTGTGTGTGTGTGTGTGTGGTGTGTGTGTGTGTGTGTGTGTGTGTGTGGGTGTGTGTGTGTGTGTGTGTGTGTGTGTGTGGTGTGTGTGTGTGTGTGTGTGTGTGTGTGTGTGTGTGTGTGTGTGTGTGTGTGTGTGTGTGTGTGTGTGTGTGTGTGTGTGTGTGTGTGTGTGGTGTGTGTGTGTGTGTGTGTGTGTGTGTGTTTGTGTGTGTGGTGTGTGTGTGTGTGTGTGTGTGGGCAGTGGTTCCCGACCATGTGCCACTGAGGCCTAAGACTATGAAGGTTTTCATTCCTATCAAGCTCTACAGCAGCTGATCATGAATGTTGAATCAGCTGCTGTTAAGTTGAAGTGATGATGAGGATGGCATGTTAGCAGACCTTCACCCTTTTGAAAAACAACTGATTATGAACATTTGGTCTCAACAGAAATATCTCAGACAAATTTACACAGACATTCTTTACCTCCAAAAGATCAATTGTACTGACTTTGGTGATCCTTTTAAATGTTCTAGTGTCATCTGTCTGGAGAGAAAAATGCCTTGGTTATTTTCAAATGCACATATCCTCCATAAATATTCCACGATATACAAATGGTGTTGTTTATACTTTATTAAACCAACCAATACACACATTCTTTCAATTACATCATTTTGAGACGTTGTTTTTGCTCTTTTGCAGTCAACACTTTAAAACACATTGGTAAACATGGATTATTTGCTAATCTGGGTTTGTTTATCTAGGAGATTATTTTTAATCTCTAAACATCTAGTTTTATAGCTGCAACAATCAATAGTTATAAGGCATCAATATTTTAATAATCAACTCATAATTTCAGGCAATTTTAAATCCAAAATGTTCTGGTTTAGCTTCCCAATAGTGAGAATGTCCGTGTATGATGAGAAATCAAATGTATTTAGGTGTTGGATTGCTGGTTAGATGTCACCCTGGAAAAAGGCTTTTTTTACACTATTTGTTATTTTAAAGAAAAAAATAGATCAAACTAATCTATTCATGGAGAAAATAATTGCTGTTCTTTGTATTTGGGTGCTCATTAGCAAACACTAGTGAGCGAACGCTTGAGTAGGTAACATTAGACAAGCAAGCAAACGTTCTAAAGATGATCAAACCACAAAAACAAGCCCAATGTTGCCAACTCCTCTCCAATGAATGTAGCTAACGCCACTAGCTGCAAGAGTCGCTAAATCTAGCGAGAAAATTGGAAAAATTGACAGCCCGTCTCTTCAGGCCTAGGAGAGCAACTACCCCATTATCATAATGAACGATACGACCAACATGGCTTTTGTTGGTACTCACAGCTGCTTCAATGACCACAGCCACAGATACAGGATTTCTTTTTCAAAAAGTATTTATTTTATTGATCAGTATTTCAAAAGATGTGACAAAAAAAAAAAATACTTTACCCACCCTAGTTTAACACGCTGAGATGGTGAATCCATGCTTAGCATAATCACATGAGTATTGTCATCTTTAGCATGTTAGCATAGCATGCAGACATTAGCATGAAGTACTTTTTCCCAAAGACCGTAGACTCTGGTTGTTTTGACTCTGGATCCTGCTGGTGCCATTATTTCTCTCTGTACCATCTTATCAGTATGCTTCTCTACCATTAAATGTTGATTGAGGATTATTCATATCTCACATTAAATATTAATAACATGAAGGATTAGCAAATCTGTGTCAATGACATTCCTACTCTCAGACTAGCACAATGTAGGGAGAGACATAAAGGATTGTTGATCTCATATGGAGCCATTCATTATGTTTTTTTAAATGTATTTTAGCCTCAAGCTGAGCCGGATGGGCATCTCAGTTTTGCCTGGGCAACCGTCTGCTGTTGTTCCCATGCTGCCGCCGTCCTAGAAATAACAAGTGTTGTTGCCACAACATTGCCATAAGAGTACAGAGGAGGCGCTCTGACAGGAGCTGCCTCTTTACGCCCGTTTAGCTATCTCTGCTCGCTGCCCCCAGCTCCCCCAACATTAGTCCTCACTCACTAATGCAAACACAAAATAGCTGTTGGTTGCTATGACAGCACTCCTTTTCCCTCCTCCCCCGCTGGGATTGTGTGTTGACTGGAGACTAAATTAGCCGGCTTGCGGGTTCTAATATCTCAGGCTTGGGGAGGGGATGCTCCTTGCTAGCTGAGGTCATAACTTCCAAAAAACTCAAGACTTTCTTTCTTTCTTTCTCCCCTCACAGCAAAGCCTGCTCAGACAGCAGGAGCGTGTGGAGGAGCGGGTGCAGGAGATCGAAGAGCAGCTCTGCAAACTCGACTCTGACAAGATTGTGGTGGAGGTATGCTTTTTACACCCTATATCTTGGCGCAGCAACGCACATTTTTCCATGGCGAAGAAATATTTGAGAGGACTGATGTTTGTGTTTGTCTCTACAGGACAGGGTGTGTGAGCTGAAGGAGGAGGTGCGCCTGCAGTACCAGCGGATGCACCAGCTCCTGGAGGAGGATCTCGGTCGGACACTGGAGGCCCTGGACCGGGCTCAGGCTCGGTTCTGCCAGGAGAACGCTGCCCAGGTGTTAGCTCTGGGCGAGCAGCGCCACGAGGCCCAGAAGCTGCTGAGCTCCATCCACACGGCCTTCAGCAAGGCGGAGGAACTGAGCTTCATGAAAAACACTAAGCCTGTTAAAATCCTCACAGACAGGTGAGGGAGACCTTGGGTTTGACTGTTTTCCTGCAGGAATGACTCAAACGCGGAAATGATTTAGCATTTTAGCATTTATGGTTCCCTTGTCTCAAGTCAATGGGTTTCTAAAATGTTTTTTGTTTGGATGCCTAAAATAAGGCTTTGAAGTTTTATTCCAAGACTTAAAATGAGCCAGGAAATACCCCACATCCGAACTGCTTCTCTTTTTAGCTTTTACGTCGTGTCCTAAAAAATGCGGTTGCTCCAAGTTTTTAAAAAGGGCTACAGAAGTTGTTGGCTATTTTTTACATCATCACTTGCCATCCTTCAAAGCCTTATGTTATTATTAGAACTCAAACTAACTATTTTATGTTCTGATTGTACTTTGTTCTGTTAAATTGTCATAATTGTTACACGTAGAAAGCTAAGCGGTGTAGCAGGCTTACGTTAGCTTTTCTTTTCCATTTGCTTTTTGACAAGGAAACCAGGGTGGTGCTAACTTCTGTGTTAGCCTACAAAAAAGCATCCTCCCTTCAGCGATTTATAATACACAGATGTTTTTCTCCGAGCTGACGTCTTATCTTGATTTGTGCAGGTCTCAGTCATGTGTGGGCAGCAGCCTCCCTCCTTACAAAGTGGGGAATGTAAACTCTAAACTCTTCCTCTCTGAAATCGCAAAAAGAGAAAAGAGCCTGAAGAGAACGCTGGAAGGTAGGATCTCAAACGCATTTAAATCCTGCTCATTGCGGCCATGAAAGTCTTTTTTTTTTTATCACCACTCATCTCCCCTTCTCTTCTTCTCTCAGCTCCCCTCACCCCTCCCTCCACCTTCCTGCAGACTGTTCCTGCTTACCCCAGCGGTCAGATCTCGGAGAAACGGAAACATTCCACCGCCTTCCCAGAGGGAAACGGGAACGTCGGAAAAAGTGCCGCTCCAGGTTTCAAGGACTCCTCTTCCTCCTCTTCTTCCTCATCGTTAGCCAAGCAGCCCTACCTGGGCTCCGGCTCTGCCTCCGGAGAGGGTCAGTCCACCAATCAGCAGCTGCTAGGCCCCTGCGGACCTCCTCACATCAACGAGGGCGGCGGGACAGGAAGTGCAAGCGGCTCTCTGACCAACCATCATTCAGGCTCTGTGTTTAGCTCCTCCCACTTCCCCCCCGGAGGCAGCAGCTCCTCCCACTCCTCCCAGCAGGCCGTGCTGCCTCAATATGGCGGCCGTAAGATCCTGGTGTGCACGATGGATAACTGCTACTGCTCCGGAGTGCCCTCGGTGTCAGGCCACCGCAGCCATCCCCCGTACCCCCGCTCTGGCTCCTTCCCCTGGGTCAGTGCCCAGGACTACCCCCCTCCCCCCGGCCTGGCCTCCGGGGGCCCGTCCATGCAGGGCCTGGCAGTGAGGGACTGGATAGACGCCTCGCAGACGCACAGACATGCAGATTTTTATGGGCTGTATGGGCAGCCCACTACAAAGCACTATGTCACAAGTTAACAGAGTAGACATACACACACACTTGGATATAAAGACAGGCACCAAATAGCACACCTACCGTCTTATTAACCGGAAGAAAAAAAACAAGTCATACTATACACACACTTAAATATTAAGATCTATATCCACACACACACACACACACACACACGCACACACATAGAACATGTACACACATTCGGGGGCAGGGTTGATCTCTTTTTGTGTTTTTATTTTCCTCTTTTCTTTGATTTCAGTCAGTGTTTCATGTAGTGTATTATACGTAAAAGCCAACACGCTCACTCTGGCACAACTTAGCATTCTACACATACACGAGAAACAAAGAGAGTCCTAAGAGGAGAGTGACACATGCATCTTTTTTTAATTTATAGAACAGAAGACGGATTGATAGAAAATGAACTTTTATTAGGAAAACGCTTCTTCGTGGCTTCTCACTGACGCTTAAAGGAAGAGATAAAACCATGCAGTGTTGAGCTTTTCCAGTTTAGCGCCTCATGTTTCTCTAATATAATCACCCCTCTAGTTGTACTGAGGTCAAATGCCTTATGTTATTAGCATCATCTGTTTTTCTGACCAGCTCACTTTGTTGGATATGTCCTTCTTAAAGAGGAAATGCCCTTCATGTCTTCATATTTCCATCGTCATGGCACCTCTTCGTTTCTTTGCTGAGTTCAGGGATGGATCGTACGGCTTGAACACAAAACGCTCTTCCATGGAACACCCACAATGCACTTGTGGATGCCTTGTTATGCCTGGACTACAGATGCAGGGAGCTGCATCTGAATGGCCGGTTGACCCTGGCCCAAAACGTTTTGGGAACTTATTCCTATAGCACTCCCTTCCTGCTATCTGGCTTCCCACAGGACAGAACATGTTCTTCTGACAAAGACTGTTTCCATTTAGTAATTACTATGACTTTGTGTTAATTGGTACATCTGTAGATCTGTACATCTAGAGAGACTCTTTGATTTTAGAGAAAAAAAGGCAAGACTGGACAGACCAAACCAATCAAGCATCTGGAGGATCTGATGATGCTGTAATTGTACTTCCTGCAGGGCAAAGATGTCACTTCCTCTCAATAAGCACACGAGCTCTTGGCTTCCTGTTTGCAGCTGAAAGCATGCAAGGAAGAGTTTTTTAAAGCACTCAAAAGAAGAACAATGGGGGGGGGAAATGTATGCAGTTTTAAAATGAGTGTTCGGACGAAAAAAAGAAGGGTGGGAGGACTTTTTTTCATGAACCTTTTCTAGAAGAATAAGACTGGACTGGACGAAATGTAAGCAATTCTCATCATCCTTAAAAGGAGCTGTTACAACAGACAAGATTAAGAAAGAAAAAAACAACATAAAAGTATCTTTTTTGTAAATATTTTGTGAAATGGAAAAATTACAGACGTGATTTGGAGAAGGGTTCCAAATAAACGAACACATTTAAACCGGTCTCTGTTGTCAACTCTGTATGTGCTAATCTTGTTTTCCCATGTTTGTTTAAAGGGCACAATGATATCATTTAGGACCCTTATGCAATTAAGACACATTTACATCTGTCGACTAAAGTCAAATATAAATATTACGAGACTGATTTAACATTTCTCACATTTGTATGAACATAAAATCTCAGTTTCTTTTTCACTGTAATTTTCCAATTCATACGTCATCTGCTTTCTCTCCATATGACTTTCAAAAGAAACAACCTCCTCCCACTTGTACCCGAAACATCGCACATCCTCTGCTCTTCTTTCCTTACCATGCAAACAATCTAAATTGGGGGATGAAACCCTCTATAATTGTCACACATACATGCACACAGCACACACAGTGAAATTTGACCTCTGCATTTAACCAATCCTACTAGGAGCAGTCTCAATCTTACCGGCCATTAGTGCATTTATTGAACTTCAAAGATGCGTTAACAGAAGGCCACTTAAACAAAACTTTGAATATCTCTGCATCCATACAGTGCTCATAAGTATATGTGGGTAGATGACCACAGAGAGAACACAGGATGGAGAGAACAAGTCTAGAGATGAGTCGACAGTTGTTGTTTGTTCCCCTCAGCCTGATTAGATGTTGCATTAAAGCTTTCCCCCTACCAGCACTTTGAGCCGCCCCCATGACAGGAGGAAAAAAAGTTTTTAAAAAAATCATCATTTGAAAAATGATTGATTTGAAAATAATATGATACAGTACAGTACAATTACGTCTGGGTCTCTGTGTGTCATTCAAGCTCGGCTCTGTGTGTGTGTGGAACGAGCCATTTTGTGTGCGAGAGAGAGAGAGAGAGAGAGCTCACCGTGGTACCGGAGATCATTGTTGTTAGCTTCTGGTGCTAGCGAGCTACGCTAACGGATATAAGGAGCTTTTTCAAAAACAAGGTGGAGGAGAGTCCTCTCCTGTCAGACTGAGAGATACAGTAGTTAACTTTAGTCTAAGTTATCTCAGTGGGTCTCAAACGGTTTGGTCACCATTAATGTAAACAATTATTTCTGTGGCACACGTTTATATGATCATTATAGTTATAAAAAAATAAGAGAATAAATGAAAAACAGGTAAATCTGTTTACAGGTCTTTTTCATATGGGTGTTGAGAGATGTATCCACAGATCTCTTCATTTTGATCTCAAAGCGCACCAGATTGATGCTTGTAACTTCAATATTTAAAAAAAAATCTCCCTGGGGAGCATGCCCCTGGACCCCCCTATGTGAGGTCCACACACCACCTATAAAAATACCACTTTACCCCTGCTTACACCTAAATGCCCTGAGCTGATTATCGAGCCTTCATTGTAACTGTCGCTGGTACACTGTGTATTTGCGTGGGGATTGTTGCAGTAGAAAATTCCACTGTAGCCCGGTACATTAATGGGAAACCCTAAATGTTTGAGCATGAAAACGTCAAGCTACTGTACCCCACAGCACCCCCAAAAGAAATCTCTGGTGCCGCCACTGAGCCTGCAACCCCGTTTTGAAGAAACGTGCAGTGCAAAACAGGCTCATTGCAGCCACTAAGACACACTTTTTTGCCAAATATCAGCATTTTCTTTGCAAAGTGGCAAAGTATTATAACTTATTGTTCTAGAAAAGGGATTGCACAATTGTATTATGTATTTATTTTTTGGAGCACACAGACTTATGGAGCATTGTTTTATTATCACTGTTCTAGCAAAGTGCTTCTTTTTTTTTTAAAGGAATGCTCACGTTCATATTGATGTATTTTAATAAATGTTAACTTTTTTTTTTTTTTTTTTTGCCTGACAGAATTTAACTGAGTTAAACACCAGTGGCGAACCGTCAGGGCCTTCAAGGTATTCAGAGAATACCCTGGAACACTCAGATAAAACAAACAAAAACATCGATTTAATTATATAAATAAAATGTAATAAAATGTATATAAAATGAATAAATGAGAATCGTATCTGTGTTGTTGATCTGTAATATTACAGTGGTACGTTTGTCCTTCGCAGACCATGCACTACGCATTTCAGTGGTTTTGTGTTAGAAAAGAAAGCAACCAATCAGATCTTGTCCTGGGTCTCTGGGTAGAACCAGAGCCATATAATAGAAGAGTTACGACATCTCCGTTCACTCCAATGGACCACTTTTTTACAGCAATGGCGGATCGTGGAGCCTCTCAATCGTTCCCCGGAAGTTAGCGCCAAGGCTAGCAGAGCTGTAGAGTTGCAGCATAGACCGTTCGTGACGGACTTTTAAAAGTAAGAAGAAGTTTAAAGATTTATATTGCGGATATTATCAGTACATCTGATTCAAATTAACATGTGTATTAAAGGATGTCAGTGGATTATCCCTAAATTAGTAGATTTAGGGAACGTTTACAGATAACAGATCAAGCTAGGATACCGAATCAAGTTAGCAACACACGTTGAACAGCCTTTTAATTGTAAATTCCGTTCTCTTAATGTCATTTCGTCCAACGTTGTTGAATTGGAGAAGAGGGGCTTCTAAACGGGATTGTATGCGGGGGTGGAGGGAGTTGAATATTAGATACATATAACTTTGGTGCGTGTAAGAGTGAGTGTTTTTAGCAGAGCCATATTGTGTCCTTGTGATTATGTTGATTATTACCTGCCTGTATAATGTTGCAGCTCAGCTGATTTTGGATTGATGGCAAAGGGAGAGGGACTTAAGTGAGAGTGAAAACACAAGGTAAGTTTAATACTACTGTTTTATATAAGTAAGCATACTAAACATGTATTCTATCACTGTATTATATAAGTAATCTTGTTAGTAACCTACTGTAGGTAGGTGGAGGGGCAGTGATGTTACAGGTGGAGGAGCAAAACTGCAAGACTGCAAACTCACAAGACAGAGAAATCGAAGTTTGTTCTCCAGAGATGAGGTTGATTTCACTTCAATTTTTTCATATTTTCTAAAGATGTGGAAATGGCACAAAAAAAACTTGAGAGCTGTAACCAAGACAACTGTAACAACATGAGTAGAGAGCCACCAAGGTTTTTCAAGTCCCTCTCTTACTCCATTTTGCCAACCCAAACTTCCAGGTACATGACGGGACACCTTGCTTGTTTTTGTTGTTTGCGCTCCTCTGGCAGGTGGAGGGCAGTGATCCCTTCCCTTCTTCCCTCAATCTTTGAGACTAATGTAAGTAGAAGACATGGCACTGTAAATGTTCGAACATTTAAAATATTATACCACTTAAAAATAAGAAATATTACTTTTGTTACTAAGAGTTCATACTTATTATACCTGTGTCACCTTTCACACTATCGCTGTGATCATGAGCTATGGGCTTTGTAGATACAGGTCCCGGGGTGAATCGTGGTGTCTCTTTTTGACCACAGGGCGATGCACGAAGATGGTGGGTATAGCCTCTGCTCTCAGTCTAGTCTTGCCCTTTTTTGTCTTGACAAACTGGTCTGCATCAAAATGTGCCTGCGGAGTGACTTGAGGTTACTTCACACACAGAACAACTCAGTTTTGTCTGCCCACATACATATTCCATAGTGGTTGAATACACAGTATTAGGAAACACTTTATACTTACTGGACATGTTATACTCATTACATACTGTATATACAATGTGACCAAGAATGTGAGACAACTTTATAGAAATGTATATCACATCTGTTACTGATGCCATTTGTCATACTTTGTTAAACTCACAAATAATAAAGTTCCATAACTTCAGTTGGGAACAAAGACCACACCTTATCTCCCCAAGGCAATTTCCCATCCAATAGGTGTGCTATATAGGTGTGTATAACCCTTTCTCCTGTCTGTTACTCCCTCTTTCAGCACAAGAACCAGAGGGGGATTCAATGGAGCCTGAATACCTGCACTGAGACCCTCACCCTGCACCCTGAGTCTCAACTCTCAGTGTTTTTCAAGCCTTTCCCTGTGTTTTGTATTAAACAAAACATTAAGCTTTCCCAATGGTGTGGTTTTCGTTTTGTGAAAAAGTGCAAATGCAGTGTTTGTATATAAATCACATATTTTTTTGCTGTTGGTCGTGAAATTGCTCCTGCTTCCTCCGCTCTGTGTCAGTGGGGAAGCTGTACATTCATACTACTTTCTCTGAGCGATTGGAGCATCCCCAGGCAGCACAGCAAACCATGGTGGCGACTAGGAGGCAGCACAGCAAACCAGGACAACAAGGAGGAAAAGGCACAGACAAACTGCATGATATGCTATTCAATGTTTATTGAATTCCATGTATTTGCAATGGATGTTCCTAAAACAACACATTTAACATCATCATCATCATGCTGCTGCTAGTCCTTTGATAGTCACCTGTCGGTCTCCTGTCCTTTCTGAAAGCCATAAAGATGACATTAGTCATTTAGATAACTTGTGTCCTAAATTACCATGGGATTACTGAAACTACCATGAATTTAAGAAAATGGTAGACATTAATCTAATCTGAATTTTAAAGCATTACTTTAGATCCCCTCCCTCTAAATATATCAATAAACATTAGAAAGTGATGCTCCTGACTACCATACAAGTTTAAGAAGATAATATTGGTTTTAAAGAATTCAAAGCTATAAATAAACAGCAACAGGCTCTTTAACCAAGGCACTGTTAGCCTAACATGTAAACTAGTTGTTCACACTAATCCTAATATTATCACTTAATATTAGCAAATTCTATTTTATTTTTAAAAACATATTGATGTAAATACATACATATCGATTTGTTGTATAAATATTGCAAATCAAAACCTTTATTCACTAATAATTACCAAAAATCGTAGTTCTATCTCCTGTTATCAATGCATTCACATTGCCCGCCATGAACTTCCGGGGAACGATCCTCTTCTACATGAACCACGTGATGATAACCGTTTTTGGACTTCCGTTGTCGTAACTCTTCTATTATATGGCTCTGGGTAGAACATCCTTCAACCAAGGTATTCTACATCCTTGATCGAATGCCCTGGCCGTTACAATGAATGAGAGCGT